AGTAAAAAATGCATAGAAACGTAGCATGCTCCTGATAGCATCGTTGCTGTTAGATACATGCAAATAAGGATGAATTTAAGTAGAATGGCATTCAATGATGATAAACTGCTTTTTAAAAACCTGCATTCAGCACGCACACACAGGAGGGAAAATGAATACTCTTTTTCAGAAAGACAAGTGTGACTTAACTGTCTTCCATTGACTCACCTGGACCTCCCAATTGACTGCCAGGTAGAGACCTCACCTATTATCTTATGCCAGAGATGTGATGGAGGAAGATGGTGCCTCTGGTGGATGCTACCTATTCCTGTCCTTTTGGCAGCTTCAAGTAATTTAAATTTTTTCAGTAAATATGTACAAACAAATACAAGAAGTACAGAGTAATCTAACCATTGGATTATAAGATTCCACAATATCTTGGGGTACAGAGTTTCTCCACTTGTTCTTAGGTTGTCCTAGCTCTGATATCAAGACTGTTTGGACAACGAGGCATTTACCTTCCTGTTCCTCTTCACTGTCACTTTCTAGAAATCGGGAGTCCATGCGAAATCTGTCATCAGTAGCGAACCGAGACTGCAAATCCATGAGCTCAAAGACAAAACGAATATATAATCAATAGCCATATTCCCAACAAACTGCTTTTAAAGAAGACTTCCAAGGGCCCTCCCACACCCTGAAATTCCAATTAATGTTTGCATAACCTCACCTACCTATGAACCAATCAGAATGGGTAGTGGAGGACTTACTCCCAAAATAGTTAAATGATTAAGTGTGAATCAAGGTCTTTATGCATTTATCTAGATTTAAGGACTGTCACAAAATAAGGACATGTTGCACGTTTTATTATTTTCAGTCTTAACTAACCTTCTTTCCAGCTCTACCCTCAAACTGAGGTTTAATTCTGAACCTATTACTGTCATCTTCAGAATCAGATTCCTCATTATCGCTGCTGTCAAATAGCTTCCCAGATGTTCTACTCAAGGACTCCTGTTACATAGATGAAGACAGAAACATTTATTAAAAACTGAGGCAATCAGTGTTTTCATATGTAATCTTCCTCCTCACATTTAAGAACCAATAACCCAGAAGCATCTCCCAGGTGACAGTGGATGGTGGTCTAAAACAGAAACTCCTGTCTCAGTGATATCTACTTGGCCTCTTAAGATAATAATCCAGAGGCTCCCAATGCAGTCTGAATGGAGGGTGGGGGGAGGGGAGGGCGGAAGGCGGGGTAGACCAGGAGGACAGTTATTATATATGTGAGAACACTTTC